CCCTCACACGAAAGGTTTCATACTGAAATTAGAAAAAAATTCATAAAACGGCACTACGTTTCATTTTTTCAAAAAATACAGATGACTGAATTCACCAACGGAGCTGAATTGTAAGGCAAGTCTCACCTGATTAGAAGAGAGGAGAAAAAAAAGCGTTTCAAAATGTTTTTAATGGTTTTAGATGGAACACTGCAGATGGATAAACCCAGATTAATTAAACCTCATTTATCTATAATCACACGTAGTAAGCCTACTAGGATAATCGGAGAGTACAGATTCGCCAAAGAATGTTTCAAGAATTTGTATTTCCCTCGGACGATAAGGGAGAGGAATATACTGCCCGAAAGCGTTGTTAAATCCAAAACGGTTTTGGATTTCGTCAAGTGTCTCCCATGTAACCAATAGACCTCGTGTTATTATTTTTGTTGTACTTTTGTGTTATTTGATATGAGTATTAGGTGCCGTATAGTCCTTCATTTTTGTCATTGTGTTCTGCATGTCTATTACATTGTCTATTGTTTTTTGGTACTCACTCGTATCATAGACCCCACTGGGGGACTGATAGTATAAGGAAACACATAAATAAAAATAAGTAAACCGCGGCTCCACCGCGACGTGACGTCAGGAGGGTGATGCGCCAGTGTTGCTTGACTAAAAGCTAACCCGCTTGCCGCCCACTAAAAAGCAGCTGGTCGCAATTTTAGAGTTGGCTTTTGTGGAGTACGCGGCGTCACTTTGACGTAATATTTCGGCTGTGGTCACATTTTGTGCCACTAAAGCGATACCAGTCATTTCGTTTTGTTTCGTTTTCGACCAGAGTTGCTTTTTAAAAGCATCTGCTTGGGTGTGACATTCGATAATTGTTTTCGAGCGTGTGAATTGAGTGTCTGTCCTTTCGGATAGAGTAATATATTTATCTTGTGGCATTCTTATGGGTTAGATAAAGTGTTTTGAGCCGGGATATCCTTCTTCGGGATGAGAGTGGTATTAAGTCCTTTTGAAGCATTAATTCTGAGGTCGAGTGCTTTTTTTCGTAGTTGTTGAAGATAAACCTAAAGGCCCGTTCACACTCTTGCGATTGAGTAAGACCGAAATTGACCAGACCGGTTTTATGCCTCTTGCGATCTCTTAGGACCAGCTCCGCTGCAGCGCATCCGGTCCTAAGAAGTCGCAAAAGGCTTAAAAACTGGTCTGGTCTCTCTCGGTCGTACTCGGTCGCATATATGTGAACGGCGCTTAAGAGCTTTCCTCTGAATCATCTCTTGTTCGTCTACGCTTTTTTTGTGTGAAGGGGTCCCAAACGGCTCTGGCATTGTGCAGTAGGCGCGCTATCTATAAAACAAATTAACAAAGTAGAATGGTTTCTCGTAGTAAAGTACTTGAGAGGGGAGAGCTCGGCCTTAAAAACGGCTACTTCATAACTTAAAAGTAAACAAAACATCAAAGTAAAAAAATAAATCGCGCAAGTGTTACTGCAGCTATGATACGTTGCTTAGAATGCTGGGATTGTACCATTTGTTTGATAGACGACGGTTCCGCGAGTTGTGGTTTCTTGCTTGCAATTGTCAGTGGGGCTGTCGATTCGCCACTTCTGGTAATCCCTGTTCGGTTTCGCTGTTCCTTTGGGTCTAGTAGCTTTCAGCGTTCTTTTTACAAGTGGGCATTATCCAATACGCCGTCACTATCAAGAATAAAACTTGCGTTCAATATGATAGACCAATTTTGTCATCGACATTTTTAGTGGTGTAATACTTTCCGAAAAAAAAAATGGAGCCGAAGTATGCGCATAATAAAGCTTTAGTTTTGCTCCTTTCCTATTTTAATTTACTGAAGACCAGGTGCTCTTTATGGAAGTATCAAGATAAAGACTGTGATTACGATTGACTGATTGTGACTTTGACTCGTTGCAAATGCTATCTATCTCGTGTCTGATTGACAGATGAATCGGATGTGTTACGTTTATGTTATTTGCGTCAGCCAGTATACACACACTGAACATTTTACACTGCTAACAGTCTAAATCAACTTGCCTCGCGGCAATGACACTTTTTTGATTCTGGTGAAAATCATAAAAATAGGACGCGGGAAATCTCAGCAACCTCGTATAGGGATAGTTTCTCTCGAGCAACGCTTTTACAGCAGCAAGCACCACATGCATTCTCACATGCACAAAAAGACATGTACAGACCCAATGAATTCCGCACGAAAGAGGAATCACAACCCTGTTATCTGCTGCACCACCTTACGTATATACTAACGCCCTTTTTCTAAACATGCTTCACTTGTTTGTGCATTTTTTTAATTTGCTGTTTGAGAAAAAGTGACTTTTTTCGTTTTTATATATTGTGGTTCACCATAATCGTACACATGCCTGCAAATGTCTATTGCAATATATCGAATATTTACGGACAAATAAAACATTTTCGGTAAGCCAAATCATGTTTCGGGAATATGAAACTTCTACGTTTCCTATTTTCCAACAGCTGTATACCCTAGAATAATGATCGTACTCTCGTTGGAAAGAGCATTAACTCACAGTTTCAGTACGTTAACCCTATCCGTACGAGAATAAGCACAATTTGGGAAAGAACACCATACAAGTCCAGCTTTCCCCTTGACGAGGGTATACACATGGCCAAGAATCGAAAAGCTTGCCCTGATTGAACAGAAAACTAACTAACACCAACATTCGTTTATAGGAAGTCACGTCGGTTTGTCTGCTTTGTATTTCTACAATGCTTGCCCTACCCATAATTGCTGACGCTGGTTCGTGTATTCCAAGCGTATCCAATTCCTCATTGGTTTCCTAATCAATGTCCACATGTCGACAACAAAATGACTCTTGAAGAAAGTGTTTTAAGTTCTGACTCACTCAGCAAGGCCATGCAGGAGATCGGATGTAAGCAGAAGGCACCAACTATACTCTTGGTGCCTTTTAGTTGTCACCATCACCAGTAAAATCAAATGTAGTGGTGTGTAAACTTCAAATAGGATTATCTCAGTTTCACTTTTTTGCAACAACTTTCGCTTTCGGAAATTATGATTTCGATGAATTGCGAAGTTTATTCTTCACTATGGATGTTTCTGAATTGAAATTTAATGAGGAATGCGCCTAGATATGTATGTTTCAATTTAAATGAAGCTCTTATTGCCACAAAAGTAGGGTTTTGATGAGGAGAAAATGCCTCATTATGTGGAATACTTTTCAAGTTGTCATTTTGCATAAAAAAAAACACAGATTTCAGAATAAAAATAGATAGCCGCACCCCCCCCCCCCCCCCATATGTTCTAGTTACGGCTGAAGCTTACACAATGCTCAATATTTTGCAGCCATTTTTAATTATAGATTTTCTTGCTAAGTGAGACGACTTACATCAATAGCTGTATACCTCTCCCTGTAGGGTATCGGAAAATTTTCCTATGGATGTGAAATGTTATACAGTGCATTTAGGCAACGAAATAAAAAGGCCCTTTAAATGTCATCAATAATAAGTGACTGGTTTCAAAGTCAAAGTTGGAGATGATGTCACCCTTAATATGTATCCTAAAACCCCAGTAGACTATTCTTTAGATGTAGGCCGTAGGTAAAAAACAAAACTCGCACGAACTATGGTTTGCAACAACTTGCGTATCTCATCTCTTTCCCGATCGACTAAACAGACACCATGTCATAACTCGTCCCCGGACATTAAAAACAATACAAAAACAACTTCAAAAATATATTAACTCTATCTTATGATCCGCAGTTGGTACCTCAACTTGTTCTACGCGCAAGTTTTGGTAGGTGTCCGATGGTGATTTTTTTTTTTTTTTTTTTTTTTTGCTTTGTCTCATTTTTTTTTTCTGAGAGCTGTAACCATGTTCTAGGTCCCGTGAGAAGATATACTTGTCTTTTTTCGCCCTAGCCCCTCAACTTTTTTTTTTCTTTTCTGAAATACAATTTAAGGATACACATTCGCAGGTGACCGTATTCAGCAATACGAAGATTAGAATTATACTGCTTGGTTCTCGGCAATACTTCACGTAAAGCCTATTACATTTATGCCCAAAAAATGCATTTCTAAGTAAAAAGCATTGGTATTGACAATTATTATTCGAAGCAGTCTTTAATACAACCTTTGCAAAAGCTCTTTGAAGCGGGTGTCAGTGCAGCGAACACCCTTCAAAGATGGTGTTCGCCTCACGTCAGCACCTTTCTCACACCCTTTTTACGCCCCTTAAAAATAATGGGTGTTCCACGAAACAGCAGCCCATTTACAGAAAAAGGGGCGTACCACTTGAAATAAGAGTGCTGAAAGGGTGTAGCCATGTATGGAGCAAGCGTCTGGAACATTCTTTTTACACGCTTAAGAATGCAACATTTCTTGCTCAGTATTTCAGGCTCCAAAAGAATTTTCGCTGAATGCACCAACCTTTTTATTCTCTTTCAAAAGAAGCAGAGCCAGACAAACATTAAACAAGGGAACTCTCTATAATAAGATGACTCCACGCATGGCGTGACACAATGACAACGCGCAAATTAGCCTACTGCGTTGTCCTTCTTATGCCAACAAGAGGGCGCTCATTAGAAACGCTACGGTGCATCGCAGTCGCACGACGCTCTCGGCCCTTACGAACCAAGTCGAGCAGAAAGAGTCCGCACGAGGACATATCGGCTTTTCGGCGCCCGCGCTATCAAAAGAGGCAGAAGTCGTCCAAGTGGCAGCACAGCGTGCGGACGGCCACTTCATCTGGACCCGGTCGATTCTCACCCACGCTCCAGAGGTCTTCTTTTGAGCAGCCGGCCTCTTTCCCGTTGGCTGCCCTCGATTTCAGATTCTCGCCCTCTCCGACTTCCTAGGAATAGGTCCAGACGCACCAGACGCCCTGACGAACGCTCATCCCGTCCGCGATAACGACGCGCCCAGTCGCGCTCCGAGATACCCCACGCCCTCCGGCACCGGCCCGTGGGAACCTGCCTTCGCAGAGGACTCCCTCCAGTCAGTTGGCCCCCAGCCGCCATGGCCAGCCTTGCAGAGCGGCGTCTGGCTCTATCGCTGCTCTTCGGCTTGCTCGCCCGCGGCGTCACGTCGAGCTGCGAGTTCAGGGGTCACTGCGCCAACGACGCCGACACCGACAAGGCGATCCCATGCGCGGTGCACCAGGACGCCGTCGCCTTGGAAACGCCCACGTCCTGGCAGGCGTTTGCGAACCTGTGCCCGCAGCTCGCCGCCGAGATTCACCCGGACCGCAAGGTCTGCTGCGACGTCAGCCAGGTCGAGGACCTGGCTCGTGAACTGGAGCAGCCGGCTCGACTGGGCATGGCCAAGTGCCCCGGCTGCATGCTCAACTTCAGAGACTTCCTCTGCCGCATGACCTGCTCGCCCAAACAGTCCGACTTCCTGGCCGTGAACGCGACGGCGCGGGAAGGCATCGGTCCGCACGTCGTCGAGATGATCTACGCTGTCAGGGAGGAGTTCGCCCAAGGTGTGTACGACTCGTGCAAGGACGTGCGCAGCGTCGTGCTGGGCATCAAGCTCATGACGCTCATGTGCGGTGGCCGCGTGTTCGGCTGCACGCCCCAGCGATGGCTCGAGTTTTTGGGGTCCACGGCTCCGGAAGGCGGCTACTCTCCTTTCAAGATCCACTACGTCCTCACCGGGGAGCCCGCTCTGCAGCGTGCTGGTCGCAATTTGACTCCGCTCAGCGCGCCTTTCCTCAAAACCTGTTAACCCGGCTCATCATTCTCCGCGCGATTGATAGCGCACTGGCGCGGCCCTAACCTCTTGCCGGCATTCAAGCAGGCCTCTTGGCCACTCTCCTCCGATGAATAACTTAATTTTTATTCTTCGTCCCGGGTCTCAGATAGTGCACGTCTTTACGGTGTCGGGGATGTTTAATTTCGCTGTCATCGGGCTGCGTACAACCGCAGACTGCGAATGAGAGGCTCACCGTAACACGAATCGATTCAGACGCATCCTGCTTACAGAAAGCGAATCCATGGTAGCTGTCGGGGCGTTTGTATTTTACGCTGTGATTGAGAACATTCATGCATTTTTGGTCATGCTTGTACCGTTAAACCACGTATATGTTCCGAATGTACCAGTACGCATTAGATACAATAAATATGTTGAGAACCGACTGTCGCTTCATCTCTTTGTTTGCAGTTGAAGCAAATGGCTCGCGCGTCAAGTTCCCCTTCAGTTCCCCTCTAAGCACACGGAAAATCAAGCACGGCAAGAAATGACCAACTTGTCACACTGTCGTCACATTGTAACATTGCCCTAACAAGTCGCATTATCGAAGAGGACCGTGAGCTTAAATACCTCAAAAAGCGCGTCGAAATAATCGAACAATATAACACGGAGGCGGAGCTGAAGCAACTGAAGCTCGCAGTGCACGACCTTGAGTGTCGAAGTGGAAGACTGAACGGAGAGTTCCACGGAATCCGAAAGATCGAAGGCAAAGACCAAATAAGCAAAGTAAACGAGATAGCGAAAAAGCTGAATGCACCCAAACTGACAAAGACCGACGTCCCAGCGAGTCAGCGACCCACCCATTGCAATCAAAGCCTGTTAAGATTTCCGGACTCATTGTCAGATTTGTAGCACAAACAACCAGAGATGCCTGGGGCCCAAAACTCGTAAAACAAAGTTGGAGCCGAAAGTTCGCGGAGCGCGCCGATTGGATGCCGACGACAAAAAGCGCGAAGTCATTGTCGTGACAGTCCAATCGGTGCACTCCGCGAACTTCGGCCCCAGCTCTGTGTTTGACGAGTTTAGAGCACTTGGTTGGACAAGAAAGCAAAGCTAAGAAGCACCGGTGTTAGCGTGTGCAAGATTGAGAACATGAGAATGCCTTTTCAGCCAGTTTGAGGTTGCTTCAATGTTATCACATAAACCGAAACCCGCAGGTGTTCCGATGAAGGGGAGGTCCTTAACTTGCCATCATATAAAAGCTATTGTTTTAATCCCACGGCTATACTTCGTTTCAGCTTCGGTCCGAGCGCGGCCGATGTTATGAGCCAAAGGGCCAATCAAGCACCGCAAAAAGCGCAGCGTCATGTCGTGCTCTCTCCGCTTGATAAGACTAGCCGGCGGAGGAGCGCGCACAGAGAGACGCAATTACCGGCTGGTCCTATCAACTGCAGACAGCACGCCATGATGTTGTGCTCCTTTCGCTGTTTGATTGGTCCTTCAGCTCATAACATCGGCCGCGCTCGGACCGAAGCTGAAACGAAGTATAGTCATGGGTGGTGGGGGAGTGTGTACGCCAATTGAAGAAAGTATGGACAGTCAGCCATTACCTAGGTTTTGCTCAATCACTGAGAACTATGCAGCGTTCTCCTTGTTAAGAGAAAATACAATTGTTTCTGTATTTTACCACCCACCTGATGGCAAATTTTAAAATTTTCTTGCTGTTGTTGAAACGCTGCTGAGATTTAGTATAGCGATAACAAATTGTGTGTGCTAACTGGAGGTTATTTTAATGTTAACATGCTACAATATGCTACCCCTAAAAATATAGATATTCTACTAGCAACATATCGTTCTGTGAAAGTGATAACAAAACCAACTAGAATTACAGAGCATACGGAATCTATTACTAGGATTTTTATTACGAATGTCGATAAATCTCATGTAATGATCGGAATTCTTACTTTTAATATCACTGACCATTTGCCAATTTTCTTGTGCATATTAGGTGCACATTGGGAAGAGAAAGACAGAAAGTCTAGCAGTCATTTTTATAGTGTCACGCTATAAACACTATAAATCCGGTGTTATCAGGGTACTTCAAGGGTCTATTAGGACTTTTTTTCACGTTTATGTGAACGATGTTGTGAACATCGACCAGACTACTAAATTCGTAATATACGTAGACGACACAACCCTTCTCGTTGCTGCTGATGAGGCAAATCAACTTGTATCTCTGGCAAACACAGTATTAGATAAAATAGGCGTATGGACCGAAAGGAATGCTTTAAAAATAAACAAAAATAAAACAAAGGTGATTATATTTTGGCCTATAAAGTGATTACTTCAACAGCTTGCATTTATTTAAATGAGTTTAGTATTGAAATAGTTGATTATTTTAAAACTCTTGGAGTTGTGCTTTAAGAAACTATGTCATGTTACATATTGAGCATCTAAGAAAAATGTTGGTAAAGGTTATAATTTGGCTATTTTGAAATAGATATATCATTCCGAAGTCAGTTAAAGTATTGTTGTATAAAGTTTCTTTTTTATATTTAAATTAATGTTATCTGGTGTGGGGTACCACCGCGGCAACAAATCTTGAGAAAATGCAATTGTTTCAAAAACGAATGTTACGCACAATTGGAAATGTTCTTTTTGGCTTACATAGCCATAACCTATTCAATAATGATCATATATAGAGAACCTAGAACATATATACTTATAGACTTTTGATAAGGCTTCAAAGTTAGAGCTGAGTTGCTCAACAATAATAGTAAGTACCTATTTGGTAGAATTGTCTGGTTTGAACCAACATATTTTAAAGTATCAATTTCGCAACTCCGAGCGCTGGAATGTACCTACATGTCAATTAAATATTAGATAGGAAATGTTACCCTCCAAACTTTCTAAACTGCTGAATTTTTTTTAGTGATATTTTAATTGAATAGTAATGAAGGAATTGCGCATGTAGAGCATGTAAACTAACGCTTTTAAGGCACTTTAGACGGCCCAAAAAACGAAAAATAGGTTTTTCTCAACTTATCGCGCTATGATTTACTACAGAGGTACAAGCAAGGTGTGGAAGTTTACAGTGAAAGAATCAAGTAATGAACTCACCTCGTTCAATCTACGCCGCCACTTCGCAGACGATGCACGCGTAGTGAGAAGTGCTCCCGACAGATGGCGTACGCCGCGTCGAAAGATTGCCGGCCGATTCAGGTTATGATAGCAGTCGATCCTGAAAAGAACCCAAATCGGCCGGCGCTCCCTCGATGCGGCGTACGCCATCTCTCAGTAGCACTTCTCACTACGCGTGCATCGTCTGTGAAGTGGCGGCGTAGACAGCCTAGAACAGCTGAACAGCTTTCTGTGTTTTGTTTTCCTTCTTTTGAGCGAGGTAAGTTAATTCCTTGATTTTTTTTTTTTTTTTGACAAAAGCGTATGTGGGAGCGTGTGGAGGGTCAACAAGTGCACGAGGTGCTCGAAGAACAAACGAACTTGCTCGTCGTATAGTCTCTGACAGCCTAAGAAGTACAAGCCGAGTCCAGAGTCTTATTGTCGCTCCGCAGTAAATGAGATTGCAACGTTACGCCGAAGAGCGAATTACGAAGCAAGGAGCCTGAACATAATAAGTCATGCACGCCCTGCATTTCTTGAGACGTGTGTGACTAATAGCCCAAAGACACACTCCTTTAGAGCCCAAGGACCGCACCCCCCCCTCCCCCCCCCCCCCCCCCCCCACACACACACACTCCCCCCTAATCAAACGAACACTTTGCACCTAGCTAAACACACAAACTATGAAATTTGTCCCGAAATAATTGACCTCAGAGAAAGCAGGGGTGCTTCTTGACGGCCGATGCTATACCGACAACACAAAGTAACCAAATGGTTACTGTTGAGATCGACCTTGCATTATTGTGCGGACGACGAGGAAGCGAACGGCGAGACGGTTGGTGTGCGATCACCTGTAACCGAAGAAGCGTTCTCGGTTCAAGTGCAAGGGATCGGACGTTACCGTCGGAGTGGCGTCTACGGCGTCTGCAGTGTCCGGATTCCACGGGGACGCCAGACAATATCCGATACTGAACAGATGTGGCGTGTATTGTGTCTGCGTCTCCTGCGAGTAAGACAATCCCCCACTGGACTTCTTCGATTCTGTGAAGAACAACGACCGAGCATCAACGTCGCGAGGAGGTTGCTGACGTCAGGACCAGCTTCGGATTACGGGACTAACCGAGCAATGGCACGGGGACTCCAGAATCCTGCCTTTTATTATATAAAGACCCGTTCGCTGCCATTTTGTGTCTACTCGATGTGCCATTACGCTACTAGCGACACCCAGGTAAATAATCTAGTCTTTCCGTCCTGCTACTTCCGCCTCCACTTCGGCCAACGAGGGAATGGTGGAATGGACGTCAGCTTGAGCACTGGGGCCTTCGGACGGGCAACACCAAACAACACCTCGAACGCGACGCAGCAGACCGGCATTCAACGTGAACACTTTAACAGCCTTTTGATTAAATGATCGAAGGCAGTTGGATAATCGAAGGACCAGCTTATGCTACGTGAATCCCGAGGAGCCGTGATCACGAGCTGATTCGTGGAACTCCCTCTGCTTTAACAGCATCTGGAATGTCCATGAAGCGGGAGTATTAGTTAAGAAAACTGCCGAGGTAGTGCGTTCGTAAACGTAAGCTATGCCTCACTGCAATCGTTTCAGACATCACCGTAAACACACTTGAAGTTCGGAACTCGTCGCACGACTGTGCGGCGCTTTCAATATTTTTTTTAATATATATAATAAGGTGTCCTCTCGACGTCCATCACCCTGTTTCCAATTGATAGAAAGACCGTCAGTTCCGCCTATTTTACGCTCGACAAAGCGTAGAGCGACCTCCCCAAAAAAGAAGAATAAAAGAAAAAAAGGCGAGCGACCTGTTCAACAAATGAAGCGGGAACACCTTTTGAGGTTCCCAATCGAGAGGGCGACGTCCAGCGCCCCGAAGAGGTGTTCGCGCAGAACACAATTG